TCGATCTTGGAATATCGACGACAGGATCGTCGTTTGGGATCACGCATTTCGCATTCCTTCCAGGCGAATATGTAATCGTCTCTCTCCGTTTCCAAAACTCGAGAATAATTCCGTTGCAGGATGGTGGAAAGAGGCGAGACACGAACGTGAACAAATGAAATTCGACTCTCCTTGTTCCATTTGGCTAATTAAACGCGAGATGCGGAGAAAGGGGTTATCGATCCGAACGAAAAGGTGCGACGTTTCACGCCGCTCCCCCTTCAACAAGGGCCGACGATGGAAGAAGGGGTCGATCAAAAACTGGCGTCGGTCATATCCGTATTAATTATCCGTATCCGAGAATCGAATTATCCTCGACGGGTTTTCGCAAAGGGAAAACTAGGAGAATTCGTTCTCGGAATTCGTTATCGCCGACTTCGATCTCTGCCGATTATTTCGAGATAATCCTCGCCGCCGAAGCCAGCCAACTCGAAACGAATATTCAAGGGATTAGAGGAGGGGGGGATCTGACGAGGGAGGTCATCCGTACGTACGCCACATCAGGAGGGCGCACGAGCGGCCCAAGCTTATCGTTCGTATCCGCCGACAGTTTCGCCATAAATACGACGAAAGCAACGACCCTGGAGCGGAAATGGAGGAATCGAAAAATAAACTTCATGGTTTTTCGGAATGATCGGATCGAACGTTATCCATCCAAAATCGTGGAATCGAGACGAGATATATATAAAGTATATTTCTTTGGAAAAATATCGTAACCTCGAAAAAATTTCGATCGGAGAGTATTTGAAAAGGTTGGATCGAAAGAATGGGAAGCGAGAGGGGTGGGAGGAGGAAGAAAGAAAAACAGGGTCGACTGGAAAAATCTGGTTAGCCGGTGCGCTAATTGCGGTGGACCGACCGATCGACCCAATGAAAGCTCACTGCGACAAAAGCTGCATCCGCTTTGAGACCAACTACTCCGCTTCACCGTTGCTCCGTGAAATTTCTGTTTCACGGCTCGATGGGGAAAAATTGGACGCGGGCCCTGGTTGCTTGGCGGGGAAAAAGCGAAGCAAGGCAAAGCAGTGGCGGCCGCGAGGGAATTCGAAATGAAGCGAATCGAGCGGACGCGAACAAACAACACCTTCGAAAACTTTGATTACGAATCCAAAATAGGATTGATTCCAGAGTAGGTGTGTGTGTGTGTGTAATGCGTGCATAGACCGATCCTCTACGCTCCATAGTTTCGCAACTATAAAAAAAAAAAATCTAATTTCGTATTTTCTAAATTCTTTCTATTTTTTTTTTTCTTTTATTACGAATAAAATCAAAGGTAGGTCACAGGTTTTTATAAATTGAGTCAAGTGTAAATTATTCGCGTTGTCTGATAAGTTTGGCCAAAAATATTTCTATACTCGCGATCGGTTGAATTCGTAACAGGACGAGCACCGTTTTAAAGCGTATTTCTTTAACTCCAGATTAACTGGAAAGAATCGAGTTAAACAATATTAAATGTATTCGCGAATTCGATTTGAACAACGGTCAAACGTTTCAAAACTCGCGCCATCATCGAATTTCCCCCCCCCCCCCCGAGAAGAACGTTCGAATATCTGGGAGAGGAGGAGAACTGGCTAACCTTTGCGTTCGTCGACGTTCGCAACGTTTTCAGAAAGAAACGAAGCACTCTTGAAAAATTACGATTTTTACACGGGATAAAAACGTGGACAAAAGTGTGTAGTAACACCGGCTAAAAACTGTTTACATACGCGCAATCAAGGGAGCAACGAACCTTTCCCATTTTTCTCCGCGAAATTTTTTGTTTAGCTGCACGAAAAATTGCACGTATTATCCTCGAATTAAATCGAGCCACGCGCAATGATCGACGAGTGAGGGGGATCCCTCCTTCCCTCTTGTCACAATTGATCCATCGTTAATGGATGGAAAAACTCGTCGAGCGCGTTCTTTACGACGCGCTCGACGAGTTTATTTCGAGCGAAACACTTGATGCGATGAAAAAGTCGGAGAAAAAAAGGGAAAGAAATAATAGTGGCGAGATGACGTGAAAATATTCGTACGTTTACGTCTCTCTCTCTCCCCTTTCCTCCCTATTTTTCAGTATTTTTTAATAAAATTGATAAAAAGGTTGATAAAACGTCCGCGATTTCAATCGCTTACTTCGCCCGTCTGATCGTCACTTCTTCTCCGTCCATTCGTTATTCAAAGGAACGAGGAAAAAGAACGAAAGGCACAAGATATCTTCCGAATCTCTTTTCGAATCGACTCGATACACGGGCAAACACTCACATACGTACAAAAGTGAAATTTCATAAAGGTGACGTGAAAACGTCCAAACGTCGGAGGGAATCGAGTTCCTTTTCGCGTTTTTTCGAAAATTTGGAGGGGAAGAAGCATCGGAATTCACTTTGCAAAAGTGGCAGGGAATTCTCGCGGATGACCTCGACGACTGTCCGACGACTAACCCCGGAGAGCTAGCTCGAACTAATCTCGAATTCGCTCAACGGCGACAACGGCGGAATTCCCCCCCGCGAGAAAACGTAACAGATAGCAATTTCTTTCCCACGTGCGATAAACCCCCTCAATTTTCCTTCCAATTCTTCCTTCTTCTCGACAAATTGCGATACCCCGTTGCGTTGGGAATTCGCGTGAAAGGAATTCCGTGTCGAACCGTGATCGGCGTACACGCACACCCTTTTAATGCTTAATGTCGTTTCCCCCGATCGATTAACGCGCAAATCGATCCGTCGCTTGCTTCTTCCCAAACAAAATAGCACGGGTGAAACGAGATATCCATTGGATTTACAATTTTCGCCTATCCTACTGTCCTGGGGGAAAAGTTGGACGAAATTTTTCGTCCGAAGCTCAACGTGGAAATTGATGCGTTCGATGATCGATCGATTCGAAACGAGCGCCATCGTCCTAATTAGCCGCTCGTTGTCCGCCTTCGTGATCAAAGCTTTGCTCCTCCTCCAGATATCATCGCGCGTTGTCGTGCACGTTGTGTGTGTGTCGTCTTCGCGAATTGCGACGAAACGTTTCTGAACGAAACGAGGTAACGAGCTTAATGCAAAATTTAAATACCTTAAAAGCGATATTAGCGGTGGCGGTAGCGAAGCCGGTAGTATCACGGCACGGTTAATGCAATTTTCCTGTCACTCAAACAGGTCGAAACACACCGGGGCGGCGATAACCGCGAAATTAATCGCGTTATCGTTAATAACCCCCATTGTTATTAATTATTATTACCGGGCGCAGTTTGAATCGGGTGGCGATTCCGATCCAACATGGCAACTTTCGAGAAGTTATTATTGAAATTATTCGAAAAGGGAACACCACGATTTTCCAAAGCGGGAAATCCAAGTTGTTCATTAATCGCGTCTTCTCGGCTCGGTTCACGTTGCTTCCGTTTCCGTTCAAGCTTATCGCGGCCAAATAAATTCCGGAACAACGTGTCACCAAAACCTTTTCTCGAGGTATACACGAGATCCTTCTTCTTTCGTAATATTCGTATCTCTCGCGCGCGAGAAGATAAGGAGAATTCGAAAAAGAATACGATTTCACGGAACAAGCAAGCGTCTTTCTATCTCTCAGTTTGTTGGGATTTTTGAAGTTAGCCCAGTATTTTATAGTCGTATATCGATATGTCGTACGTTCTTTTCGATATCTCGATCGACTTGAATTGAACAATTGACGCAGTGTCTTTCCACTTTTCTATTCTCTCAGAAATTTATTCCTTATTGCCCCAAAATCCTAAGTCAAGCTAATATCGATTAACGAGGGAATTAGATGTATAGAACGTGACAATGTGAATTTTATCAAATGTAAATAAAAAAGAAATCGTTAATAACTAAGAAGAATTTCACCAACTCTCTCGAAGAAACTCGGAATTTTGATGGAATATAAGAAAATTAAATGGCGCGATCAAATTAAACGCATTCATTTTGCTTGTTGCGCGCCTCTTTTGTCGTAAACCAATGATAATTCGTATCTGGAACGTCAGTCACGTGTTTCGTGGCGCGTATGCAGCACTGTTAAATCGTACGAAATCCGAACGCGTACGAAATTGTATCAACATCTCTTCTCCATTTTTTTCTTCCTTTTTCTTCAACGCAAAGTAAAACTTCGATCGACGGTTGTCTAATTTCAATTTCAATTCCAACTCGAATAAGATGAATCGACGATTTAAAAAAGAACGACCTCCTCTCTCTCCCTCCCTCCCTTCCTCGATATTTCCCCCCCTTCTTATCGTCCTTATCCCTCGGACAAGGTGAACCGTGGCGAGACAATTAAGCCACCGGGATAGCGATCGTTGCGGCGAGGGTGTGGCGTCTCTTCGAGAATAATTGTACATCTGGGTGTGGTTTCGCGACACCCCGAGACAAAAATCGGAGGGGACCGCCATTAAGAAGATGAGAATTTATTACGGATGGAGGAGCACACCGGCTCCTCCAATGGCGGTCAAACGCTTCGAATCGAGAAAATTACGCGGAAGCAATTTTCGACCCGGCAATTAATCCCGTCCTTTAATTTCGAGAATTTCGAAATTCAAGAATCTGGGCCCAACTGTGTGTTCGTCGATGAGAAGAATATATCGTTCGCATCGACGAATATATCGTTAACGGGATTCACGCCGCTTTATCCGCCCATTCGAGAATTCACGGAACGTCGGTGAAAGAAAGCAGCGCACGTAAACAGCGCGTGAATAACGCCGCGGCGCGCGAACTGCTCGTCTCGTTCATCGAGGATGTCGATTTCGCTGGGATATAAGATAACTGGAATTCGAGAATGAAATCATCGTGAGAGATTTGACGCTCGATCTCGATTAATTTCATCGATTAATGAAGATGGAGCGAGAGGCAACGGTCGGGAACGGCAATCAACCTAAATGAAAATCGATTCGATCTTCATTACTGGGTAAATAGGGACGAGAAAACGAGGCTGAGTCGGGGGGAGAGGACGAGCAAAACGAACGACCAGCCAAGTCGGATACAACAATACCTATTAAGACAGGATCGTCGTGACCAACCGCGTCCAATCTCTCTCTCTCTCTCTCTGCGGACAGCGATTTCAAGGACCGTGGTTGCGTCGTTCCTCCATTGCACCTGACGTTATAATCGAACCCTTTCGATTTGTATTCCACGCTGTGTGACGTCACCCACGTACAATCCACCCCTCCCCTCCCCCCCCTCGAGGCAAGGAGCGCACAAAGGAGGCGCGCACGAAAAGCTGGAATGTTCGGAACGTGGGAAATTTCATTCGCGTAAATTCTACTAATTGTCGCCTTCGCGCCGACTCAACTTAAGTTCCCCAATTTCCCGCCCACGGATGCTTCTCTCTCTCTCTCTCTCTCTCTCTCTCTCTCTCTCTC